AGAAATGCTATGATTATAGTGAGTTGCTATAAATGTTATATTTGTAGCTAAATTATTCAAAATGCCATGTTTAGAGCTTTTCTATTGAGGTTGCCATGCAAATTCTATCATTGCCATATTTGATGATATTGAAGTTATGTTAATGAGAAATGGAGCATTTGCATTGCATGGCGGGAAGGGAAATGAAAAAGAGTTTGAAAATGAATTTTTTATAAAAGGAACCTGATTTCGTGAGTCTGATGCTAATTTGACGCAGAGGGAGCGTTGTCCGGTATAGGACATCAAAAAGTTGATACTAGGCTAAAAATGATTGCCGGATTTGGAACCAGGGATAATTATCAATCTCGCTTCGATAAAGTTGTTTAACGATTTTTCGGCGTGAGTTTGCGGTCGGTAGAGACCAAGGTCGGGGGATATTGTGCATTCATTTTATTCATGCACATTTACGTTGAATTATAAGATTGATGTTGATGAATGAGCTTTTATGTGGTAATTATGCTAAGTAACCTCAATGCATGATCCCAGCTCTCTTTTGTCCCATTATGTGTTGTAAGGCTCAAGGGAATCCAAAGTTGGTACCTTAAGCGATTTCTACTGAGCCTCCGTGCTCACTTTTTCCTTTAATATTTTTCAGATCACAAAAAGGACGTGGTTAATGATGGACCTTCACAAGCGTAGTTAGTGTCGTTAGAATCATCTTTTGTAAACTTTTGTATTTAATGCTAGTGACATGATTTATTTTTGTATAAGAGCTTTATTTCGATTACTTTTGTAAAAAGCTTGTAAATTTGGTCTAAAGAACCTTAGCTATGTAATTATAACCCATTGGGTTACCCTTGGATTATTTTTGGACATGTATATGGCAATAATGAGGACAATGTCTGTCCTTGATCTTCTATGCAATCCTTTTGAATCGAAACGATGATGTTGAGGTGGTTATGTAATACATAGATCTTATTGGATGTTAATTTCATTAAAGAGCATGTTATAAGCCAAATTTTGTTCATATTTAAGTTCACAAATGAACCAACAAAGTCGCCAATGAACTGGACACTAAAAAGGACCTAGGAATCAGCCTGAACAGAGAACCAGCCGACGTGTGGCATTTTAGACGTCGACTGGTATTTCCATTTTTCAGGCAGTAGCTGAAAACACTGTGCAGAGCCTAAACCAGTTGACGTTTATGACCTAGACGTCGATCGATTTACATGAACTGGTCATCGTGTAAACTGCACACGTCGACTGAGTCATGTGGCCTTCCTTATTTCCTTTCTTTTCCTGTTTTGCCCAGTCTAAGCCTATTTAATGATGCCAATGGACATTGTAAAGACTAATATGACGTATTATATACATTTTGACCTTGGAAATGACTATGTTTCCCTTAGATGATCTCGGGTTTGGTTAAGGACTTGGATAATGATTCAGACCCCCGGGTTCGGGTTACTACACTTACTTTAAGTACTCCTCGTTCCTCTTTAATTCTCTAAAATGTCTTTTGTGTTCCTTTTATTAAGAAAAACCTTATCTCTGTCGCTCAACTCACTCATGATCTTAATTGTTATTTTATTTTTCACTCTCGTGGTTTTGTTATTTAGGATTGCATAACGGGAAAAATCCTGCTCCACGGTCTATGTGAAAGTGGTCTTTACCCTCTCTCGATTTCTTCTTATGGTCCATGTATGTCTCCTCTTCATACCGTTCTCATTAGCCTTCACACATCTGGAGATGTCTGGCATATGCGATTAATTCATCACCGTTGACGAATCATGCTTAACTAAATCTATTTGTCTGAATTGTTTAGTTCACAAAATGTCTAAACTTTCTTTTAGTTTTCTAGACACTAAATTTTCATTTCCTTTAGAAAGTTTATATATTTATTTATGGGGCTTGCTCCTATTATATCTCGTGATGGCTATCATTATTATCTCTTATTAATTGATGGATTTTCTAATTTCAATTGGTTATATCCATTAACTTGTAAGAGTGAAGTTTTTCAATATTTTGTGCATGTTAAATCCATGATTGAGAATGCATTATCTGCCAAAATCAAAACTCTTCAATCTGACAGTGGGGGAGAATACACCGTTTTTTTTTTTTTCTTTTTTTTTTTTTTTTTTGCTCATTTCTTAATTCAAATGGAATACGACACTGGTTCTCTTGCCCAAAAACTCCTGAACAAAATGGCGTTGCGGAAAGTAAACATTGTCATGTTGTTCACATGGATCTTACCCTTTTAGACCAAGCCCAGATTCCTAAAACCTTTTGGGTTAAAACATTTCAAACCTTAGTCTATATCATTAATCAGTTTCCTACCAAAGTTCTTGATAATAAATTACCCCATGAAGTTTTGTTTGGCTCTTCACCCACTTATGATAACTTGCGTGTGTTTAGTTATGCATGCTACCCTTATTTAGCCTCCTATAATACTCATAAGTTTCAGCCTCGCACTAGCCAATGCGTGTTCTTGGGCTATAACACTCATCATAAAGGATATAAATATCTTAATCCTCTCACAAATCACTTTTACATCTCTCGTCATGTGGTTTTTGATGAGATCATCTTTTCGTATCCTTCCCTCACTAACTCAATCTCAGCTTTCCGGTCTCTCCTACTGTCTGTCTTCAATGGTTAACCCCAAACTCGTCACCTAATTCCTCTATTGTGGCACCTAACCCACTTGTGTCCCCTCCCTCGCTTGAGTCCTTCCCCCTTTCCATTGCAATTTCTTTCCTTGCCACGTCTCGCCACAAATCCGTCTCCATCATTTATCAAACTTGCCTCTCCACCATTGTCTCCTATTTTAGATCCTCCTCCCCCTCCTACTACCTGTACTCATCCCATGATCACCAGATCTAAGTGGGCATCCGGAAACCAAAAGCTCTCCTAGCCACCAAACACCCGCTACCCTCTTGTATTATTTCCACCTTCTCCGACATTCCCTTGGATCCCACATCTTTTACGATTGCTGCTAAACATGCTCATTGGCATGAGGTTATGACTGAAGAGTTCAATGTTCTTCTCAAAAATCATACATGGACTCTTATTCCTTATCACCCTCACATGAATGTTCTTAGGTGTAAATGGGTGTTTCATACCAAACAGAAACTAGATGGTACCATTGAATGATATAAGGCCCATTTGGTTGCTAAGGGTTTTCATTAATAACCCGGGATTGACTTTGATGAAACCTTTAGTCCCATTGTCAAACACTCCACAATTCGACTCATTTTATCACTGGCTTATACTTTCTCCTGGCCTCTTTGCCAGTTGGATGTTAAAAATGCATCTTTACATATTGATCTTATTAACATCATTTATATGCAGGAACCTTCTAGTTTTATAGATCCTTCGAGGCCCGATTATGTATGTAAACTGACCAAGGCTTTATATGGTCTCAAGCAAGCCCCTCGGGCACGGTTATCTCATTTTATTACAGTTTTGGGTACTATGGGATTTCATGCGTGCAAATCTGATACATCTCTTTTTCTTCACCGAATAGACATCGGATGTGTTTATCTTCTTATCTATGTTGATGACATTATTATTATTCAAAAATTGATCACTTATCTCAACCGTCATCTTGATATAAAGGATCTTGGTTCTCTTTCTTATTTTCTTGGCATGGAAGTTCATCGTTTTTCTCAGTCTATCACCCTCACTCTGTCTAAATATGATTTTTCTCTACTTGATCGTGCTGGCATGACGGGCGCCAAACCTCTTGCTAGTCTAGTTGTCTCGGGTACTAAGCTCTCTAAAGATGATGGCACTCCTCTTGTTGATCCTACTCCTTTTCGACAGCTAGTTGGTGGGCTCCAATATCTCACCATCACACGACCGGATTTTGCTTAGGTAATTAATCAAATATCTCTTTTTATGCATGCTCCCACCTCAGCTCACTTTGATGCCGTCAAAAATGAATTCTTCGATATATGAAAGGTACAATTCAGTTTTGCTTGCATTTTATTCCTATCAAAGACATGCATCTCTTTGCCTATTCGGATGCTAATTTGGTTGGCTCTCGGGATGACCGTTGCTCTACTTCTGTCAGTTGTATTTTCGTTGGTTCTTATTTTATCATGTGGAGCTCTAAAAAGCAACCAACAGTCTCTCGGTCCTCCACTGAGGCCGAATATCATGCTCTGGCAACTAGTACTGTGGACCTATGTTGGCTTTAGTCTTTATTTCGAGAACTTGGTATTTTTCTTTGCAAGCCACCCACTATATTTTGTGATAATATCAGTGCCATATATGTTGTTGCAAATTCAATTCTCCATGGTTGTACCAAACACATAGAAATTGATTATCATTTTATTCGGGAACGAGCTGCTAGTGGTGCCTTACAAGTGCTTTTTGTTCCTAGTCATGCTCAGTTGGCAGACTCTCTCACTAAGGGTCTTCCTGTCACTCAATTTACTCAAGCACGTGTCAATCTCAGAGTTGCTAGCGCCGCTGTGATTGAGGGAGGTGTAAGGGTATAAATCAACCACCTTGATTCTAGGTTGATTTGTATTCCTTGATTGTAGGCCATATGGATCATTGTAATTATTTCCTATTGTATAGTTGGTTGTAGGGATTACCTATTGTATAGCATGATTTTAGGGATTGTATTATTGTAATATTTTGTAAATCTCCTCTATAAATACAAAGGAAGGCAGCCCCATTGGGTACTGCAATCATATCAAACTACAATATGGAGGTAAAGTTACGCACATCTAACCTTTTCACATCCCGCAATAACGGGAGCAATCTGCACTGGGCTAGCCCTTAGCTTATCTAGGCCCTCTTCTTCTCTTGTCGTGATTTATTAATTATATGTTTTTCCATTTCCCTCAAATAGTTCTGTTGTTAAATGTAGGGAAAATTATACATTTGTCATAATCCTCTCTAAGTCCAAAAGCCAATCAAACTCCATTAATACAAATAGTTCACCTTATTGTATCAGCCAGTTCAGAAGAAATTGATCAGTAAATGAATCAGATACACCAAGCATTTCTCAAGCATTTTATAGCTGTTTAAAGTTCCATATTGAAATGGACATGCATTTAAAATGTAAAGAAAGCATTTCTTAATGAGGAAAAAAACACAGAGTTGTATGTGCACATATGCAAACATATAAGCTATAAAGCTATTGAATCAGTTTAATTCTCTGTAGCTGATTGCACGTGTATACATGTGAGACGTGTGGCACTAACTCATAAATATCACAGAAGCTCTAAGAACAGGCTTGCTCTAGGATGGAGACCAGCATCTTTGAGAGTCATTTCCATCTGATCAACACCATACACTTTTCTAGGAAAGCTTGATATCAACCTGTAATTCCCAATTCCGGGCAAGCCTAGTGAATCAACGTATCTGTGAATTGCCTTCACCTTGTCTGTGCACAAGAAACTTTGCTCCCTTCTTTCCCCATTTGGAAACCTTATCAGTATCTGTACGATCATCAATTCATTTGTTCATTAGAACCATTAGTTCAATATATATACACACACACATATATAGAGACCTGTGTGACATAGTTAGACCTGTGTGACTTGAGCAGCATTCTTTCCCCTATTTGCAATATCCTTAGGTTGAGTTTCTCTTGAAGTAGTGGTAGCTTCTTTCAATTTACTGTTCTTTCTTATAAGATTTTGTTGAGGCTTCTCATGATTTACATTGTGTGAATCTTCTGTTTGTTTTTGAGCTCTTTCAACTGATGGCGAAATCTTGAGTCTATTATCTATTTCCTGGAAAATGCAGCAGGGTTGGTTCATTACCAATTAGTTGGTTGGTAGTGGGAGGACTTAAAAAGCATGACATGTCATATAAACATGCACCTGATCTAGACTGAGAGCTGCAAGATATGCCGCGTCTTGTTCTTCCCTCAACCGGTGATCTGCCCTTCTCTTTTCTTCCTCCTTCGCCCTTGCACTGCCGAAAGCCAGTCCTTGCTCCTCCATTGTCCTTTGTAAGATCTCCAACAATTCGGCTGGGGATACTGGCCCTTCCATCTGTACAAGGGCAAGGAAGACAAAGTAACTTGAGTGTCACAACAAATATTCCACTCCATTGCATCACATGTACAAAAAGTAATCACTGATCTGATCAAATTGGGGGTTTAGGGTTGGTGCGTCAGCATTGAGTGGGCATATCAATGACGTGGAATGACACTTGGTATTTTCTCACAAATTGGTCATTCAATTACCATCAAATTACTTGGTGTAAAAACAGATGAAAAATGCTTCATATGAACCGTTCGAATTAGATGATTAAAGCTCATTCAAGACAATTCATGGCTAATCTGAAATTAGGAGCATATGTTGGTGGGTTCAATCCATTTCTCTATTTAGTTCTGTCACAGTTTAAAGTAAGTACACATTTGGAAATAATTGTTCTTAGCACTTAAAAAGATATTTTTCTCAGTATATTTTTCTTCAATTAGTCGCTAAGAAAACTTTTGTCATGTGTTCAATTTTGTGTAATAGTACACACTATATATTTTATTGTCTATCACCTTCGTTGTACAATTGTATATAGGAAACAAATAATGTAAAACCCGAAATGGAGCAGAATACCACTTTCAAAATTCACCTGTTGTAGCACTGATATGTTATCACTAGGAGCCGGAGCCACTACAGCACAGAATGGGAAGCTCGCAGGCCTCAATGTGGAAGCCATATGCAAACCCTCACCTCCATTTGCAAGTGTACCCCAGCAAACGAAATTCGCGTCAAGAAACTGCACCACCACCTCGGAACACAAGGTCTCCCTGCAAAAGGAGGGCGTGAAGGGGTGTTCCGGTGAGTGGAGGTACATGAACATGAACTTGTGCTCATCCTGTGCTATCTTCAGGGCTTCCACAAACCGGCACGCGTAGAAGAAGGGGTGTGTGGTGCCATACTGCTGCTCGAAACTGGCTAGAAATGCCCACTCTTCTTGAATCATCACAGGCTGCTGCTCTTGTGGTTGTTGTTGCAGTGGGAAATTAGGCTGTGAATACTGATTTCTTCTTCCTCCTATGCCCATTGCTCTTGAAAAGCCCCCTATGATGGTCTGTGGGAGTCTCACCATTCGGCGAACAATCCCATTGAAAGAGGTATCCCCTGTTGCCCTCGAATTTCTTCTCATCATCGACGATATTGTTGGGTTCTGTGTGATGAAAATTGCTCGATCTAATGTGAAACCGAGCAATCATTGGAAATAATTAATCAGATGAAGAAAGAGAGTTTTGTTGTTGTCAATTATTACATGTCATAATCAACTGCATAGTTGCTTTGTTTTTACTGAAAATTTCAACCAAAGCAGCACAGAGAGAGAGGTGGAAGAATGTGACAATGCTTCTTTTTCTTTTTACCTCTCTGCATTGTTGAAAGAAGATGCCTTGCTTTTGACAATTTTTGTGGTGGGATACAGAGGTAATATGCGTATATCTATGTTAAAAGCGAGGGAACAGTAAAAGAGAGAATGATGAATATAGAATCAAATTCCTGTTCTGACCTTCTTTCTATCATTCCAAAGTTAAAGATTGTTCTTTGCATGTTTAACAAGCTTTCTCTTGATGCCATTTGCAACACACCATTGATAATTAGACATGCAAGATTATATATGTTTGAGTGATCTAAAAATTACTGAAGACACACACATATAGCCCTGTAAAAAACAGGCTGGAATCTTGTGGTAGGCTGCAAGAAAGAAAGGTCCAGAGAGTCTTGCATAAAGGGTGATTGTGAAGATGCACCTAAAATACTTGATTTTTTTCATTGGTAAAATACCTGATTAACTTCGGCATGATTATTTCTAATTGTGTATTATTGGTATGGGTTTTAGACTCAGTTTGTTTGGATATAAAATATTTTTTTTTATTTTTTGATGTTTAGTTCGTAAAATATTTTAGAAGAACAAAAATATTAAAACCTAACAAAAATAACTTATCAATTAATTTTTGATAAATTATTTTACACGCTATGCTAAATAGACTCACCTCAACTTGACTCAGATTTTTGTCAAATACCAAAAAATAAAAATAAAGAACTAGTTTTTGAAAAAAAAAATATTTTAAGTGGAAACAATAGTCTCAACTCTTTTTGATTCATATTTTAAGTGACTTAATCATGAAATTTAATCAAGTAAAGAGTTGAACATCATGAATTTCTTATGCTTAGGATTGACAAACAAGACTCAAAATTACTGGAATCGTTCAAGAGTCATTTGAGCATCCTATATGGTCTTTGTAGTTGGGTCTATCATCAGCCATCATTAGTTCAGATTCAATACTGCTACACGTGCCTTTTAGGCTCCACAACCGAAGTGTCTTGGCTTTTTTGACTTTTTTAATAAAGCACTAGTGGAATGGACAATAACACATGCGCTCTCCATAGAGAGCCTACATAACGGGCTTGATGAAAGTTAATATTCAATAATCTAAAAGGCTCACCGAAACGATGAGATTACTTTCCATATGTCCGAATTCGGAACACCCTTATTTGCATTCGTGTCATTTTGTCTATCTGAATAACACTCGAATGTCTTTTAGGCCGGGTGCTTAACATGGCATTGGATTCACTTTCCATTTAAATTCGACGTGGGACAAGTAACATAGGCCCAGTGGGGCCACATGCTGCCCATTAGTTTTAATTACAAATTGGCCTATGACTTATGAAAGTTTTTAAAATGTATCCCCCAAAATATTTTTTTTTTTTACAAAACTCTTTACCCCTGGTCATTAATTTTTATTACACATAGATCAATAATTTATAAAAAAGTGAAAAATACCCCTTGAAATAATTATTTACCTTGGGCCAATTAAATTTTATTACAAATAGGCCTATAATTTATAAAATTTTACAAAATACCCACTAAAATAATTATTTTCTAAAATTCTCTTTAATTTTTCCTTTCTTTTCATTCTTACTCCTCTTCTTCTTCTTCTTTTTTATATTCTCTTAAAAAAAAAAAAAATTGCATTCCTTTATTCAAACTATATTTTTTTCCCTTCAAAGTTGGCAAAATAAATTTGTTGTTAAAGGACTCTTAAGGTCGATATTTTATGTTTCCATCTTTTTTTTTTAGATAATTGTTTTTCAAATTATTAAATGCTATTATTCCACTATCATTATAGTTATTTTTCCGCTTATTGTCTTGCAGTACTATTAACTTGAAAAAAAATATAATTTATCCTTTTTAATACGGTGCCCCCCGAAACGAATTCCTGACTCCGCTCTTAGGACAAGTCTCCATTTATAACACTTACCCAGTGGCTAGTGGTATTTTTTCATCTGTCAAATAGGAGATAGTTTAAGTTCCTGCTGCAACAAAGTGAATGCGTGATAGTAAAAGGTTACAAATGTAAGTTTTTTTATATTATTTTGCATATAGTAACGTTAACTCAATTTTTCTGCCTTTTATTTATTTATTTATTTATTATTATTAATACAAAAAGTTAGATTAGTAAGTGGAGAGAGTCGAAACTTGGCACTCCAAAATTCATCGAAGGCACTAACCTACTGGCTATCAAGGCATCTGCATAAAATAAAATAATGATTCTAAAACTTAAAAGCAAAGTTTAGCTCAAAGAAGTTTGGTCAAGAAATTTTTATCCCTAAATGCGTTTTTTCTCTTTTTTTGAATGCATTCAGCAAGGTATTTGTTTGAATTTTTTTTTTTTTAATAAATCCTCCGCTATACTTCTCGGTTAGCCTATTAAATCTAACGGTAAAGTATAGCAACACCCCCTAAGGTTTGGTAAAAGGACACTCAGATGAAAATTACCTATTTTTAGGACAATGATACCCCCCTTAAGAAATTTCATCTAAATAAGGTCTTAAATCATATGAAAAGACAAAATTACACCTTAATATTAAATTCAAATTTATTGCAAAATATTAGACCTATCAAAATGATGCAATTGCCCTTGAAGGTTTACGGCCACCAATTAACGCCACTTGGCGCCAGATTAACAACCTGTGATTTTTTTTTTTTACCAAAATTTTATTCCTGTTTTATTTACTATATTATCTATTAATTTACAAATATATATATATATATATATGGGATTTTTTTTTAACAAAAATTTTGTGCCTGTTTTCTTTACTAAAAAATATTGTAAAGAAAATATAGGGTTTTTCTTTATGAGGTTTTCTAAAAATGGGGGGTTTTCTTTATTTTCTTTACTAGAATTTTTTTTTTTCCTGTTTTCTTTACTAATATGTGGTTTTCTTTGTTCCTGTTTTTTTTTTTTTTTATTTATCAAAAATTTGTTATTTTGAGAAATTGTAGCAGAATGAAATTATTATTATTTTTTTTTTAACAAATGGGGGTTATCAATTTTGTTATTACCATAAAAACAGAATGGAAAATAACTAAATAACTAAAATAGCGAATCCAGTAGTAACACCCAGTAGCATCAATTAGCTCTTGAAAGGCATCATTCAGAGGTTGGATAATCCATCCATAATCTCTCACAATATTTTAAAGGCAAAATTTAACAACATTGATATATATAAGTAGCACTCATAGACACCCTTTTAGATTGGTCAAACTTTTTGTTTTTGTAAGAAATTGAAAATTTATTACAGCAAGAGAAATATGTAATTTTGTTATCAATTTTTTTATTTTGAGAAATTGTGGTAGAATGAAAACAAATGGTTTTTATTATTTATTTATTTTTTTAACAAAAAATTTTGTTATTAATTCACACTTAGGTACTTTCGTCTAATTTATTAATTTGTTTCAAGGATGTGTGTGTGTGTGTGTGTGTATATATATATGTAGTTTATATTCCTAGCATTGTGGCTATTTGTTCATAAGGGATAGTTTCGTCTAATTTATTAACTTGTAAAGTTAAAAAAAGTCAACTAAATGGTCCAAGGGCAATTTGGTTAATTTTTCATACTAGTTGGATTCAAGGGGTGCCTTTGTCCACTTTTCAATCTTCAAGGGGTGTCATTGTCCCAAAAACAAGTAACTTTCATTTGGGTGTCTTTTTGCAAACGTTAGGGGGTGTTATTGTACTTTACCCTAAATCTAAATAACATTATCTTAAAAAAATAATAAATAAATAAAATAATTATAAAACGAACAACGAATTGTCTGGGCGAAGTGACTGTGGCTAGTTTGATACAACCATGTAGATCACAACACAAGTCGCACATCATTGCATCCGATGAACCAAAATTACTTGGCCCAACATGAGTCCCACCTGATTGTATCAGCTACTCGGCCGAGACAATACTTATGTAGCACGGTTGTACTTTAGAATTGAAATTGAAAAAAATTTCAATTTAAAAAAGGCAATTACATGCAACCCTACGTAACTTCAATTGATTTCATCAACTCATTCTAACAATAAGTTTTGTACAACCCAATATCTATAAACAGACCCTATGATTAATAACACACTTTAAATTTGCCCATAAATCCATTGTAAACTCTAATTAAATTTGTGTTAGACTTTAATCACAAATTATCATAAAACCCTAGATCTTAGAACTTCAATTAATTTCACATCCTTATAACGCATAAATAAATATAGTTAGATATACATACCTTTATTCATGATATCAAACCTTATTGAGATTAAATCCAACGTCCAGATCCTTTAACCACGAACCAATCTGCAACTCTGATCAACAGCAAAGGCGGAAACTGATTTATCTCTCTTGGTCTTTTGCACACAATAACCTTTTACGTGTTGTTTCAATAATCATACATAATTGATGGAGTATATGCACTTTTATAAAGGCAGAAAGAGGACCGGTTTTCCTTTTAGTAACATAATTCTACTTTCCATCAAAGTAAGGAATTAGAAGGAAAACACTTCTCCAATAAGTAATTACCAAAAAGGTAATTATAAGTTGACCAAGAATAATTAATTGATATCTATTTACTTAGCCATCAAGTAATATGTCACATGTCCAAATATGTGGGCCACAATTAAATAAATAATCTTACATTCTCCCACTTGGCACATATGATAACTTCTGTAGTGGTTTAGTAAAATAGTCATTAGTGTGCACCATAAATCAACTTAAGATATTAATATGGTCATCATAAATACCATGGTAAACAAACTACCAATGTGAGTCATGGCGGTTGTATGTCACTAAACGACACAGTCCCTTCTATGTACCACAACACTAGCAACCCATTTAACATAGTCTATAAGTGAGAAGCATCAATAAAGGTCTAGCAATAATGTCTTTTCTAAGACTATTCATGTTTTCATCATTTAAAGTAATATATGCATGTACATACATAAATTAACAGGAAATATCATAAACACATTTTAATGAGCTCAAAATGTCAAATATATATAAACATTGTTAAGCAATCCACAACAAAAATAATAATTAA